TATATATATATATATATATATATATATATATATATATATATATATATTTCCCCCTTGGAAGCAACAAGACTTTGACAATATTAAAGGAAGAAGCCTTACTTTCTCTGGTGGGTGGTTAGCTATGAGGGTTGTAGCCCTTTTGGTAAATATGTTTGTTGAGTAGATATTGTTATATTCTGTTGCAGGTTCTTCATTATCTCGTAAATCAAGTGCACAGCGGGTACCGTTCAAAGACCCAATCGGTGCACAAGCCTCGTGGGTGTAATAGTCTTCACTGCCTAGGAGGTATCCTACAAGAAGAATGGGAGAAGAAACAGTCAGCATGGCATAAAGCTTGTTAGGCAAACGAGCGTTCCAGCATTTAATTGCCTAATGCAATTGATTGCCCATGACGAGGCTAATCAAATGACAGGGCTAATCAGGGTTCATTTCTTAACATCTCTATATTTGTTAGTAGACACCACTGAAATGGTACTGCATGGAAATCCACGTCCCTTTCTCACTTGAGTCTTTCAGAACATCTGTTCTATCTTGTCAACTCTTTATAAACGGTTGATCCATGGAAAGAGGTTTTTAGAAATCAGAGCTTAAGTTCAGGAAGCAACTAGATGCTAATTCTTTAAAACTATTTATGAAAAAAAGGTAACACACCACTAATGTGGTACAAGGTTTTACTTGTAAGAGACTCAAAACAGGGTTCAGATTATTTGCTGCTTCTGAGGTTGGGAGAAGGATTGCTGTGGTTATGTATGCAGGAGCCTTTGCAGGAGTTATATTTAGTCAAATGCTGACACCCACTGGTGGAAAGATACAAACCTTTCCAAATACAAGCTCTATCCCAGCTGAGCAGCCCCAAAGAGCAAAGCTCAGCCCTCTGCCTGACTGTGCACCTGCAGCACCTCGCCCTAATGCGTGGACAGGTGCTGCTTACTGAGCTGAACAGCCTGTCAGCTTCCCTGGCTCTGTAGCCCAGGTTCCTGTCTCACAGCAGACATGGAAGCACAGGAGAAAAGGAAATTCCCCAACTCATCGTTCTTCTGCAAGCGTTTGTGTTTTCAAAGTGTGAAAATAAGCTGTGCTTCATATTCTGATTACATTTATGGACTTGCTCAGAATAGGTCAATCAACACAGGGCAGAAAGTAGTTAGTGATGGCCCAGCTCATGGGAGTTGGGTTCTTTTGTGACACACATACATATATACATACATACATACATACATACATACATACACACATACACACATACACACACATACATACACACACACAGGCACACACACACATACATACACACACATACATACACACACATACACACATGCACACACATATATACATACACACAAACATACATACATACATACATACATACACACATACATATATTCCTACAATTGAATTGTGGTGATAATGGCACAATCTCTCAAATTGTTTAAAAATCACTAAATTAAATACATTAACTGGGTAAACTGTATAGTATATGAATTATACCCTAATAAAGCTATTAAAAAGATATAAACTTTGATGAGCTTTTAGCTATATCCTTAAACATATTCCCTTTTAGTCTTAAAATGATGAAAAATGGGCCTAGCTCTTTGCTTTCTCATGAATTTTGTCTACAGTGACAAAAGCCTTATACAGAGCTTACACACTTATGTAATAATTCAATTCATTTTAGATGAACTATTTTTCATGATCAAATAAGTTCAAGGTCCTGAATATAATTAGTATATGACATCAACATAACTTATTGTGTGATTTTTATCTGTATTTATACGAAAGAAATCCAGCATATTTATTACTTAATATGAAATAAAAAAAAATGTATTCACAAAAAAATAATTTCAGGGTAGGTAAGATGGCTCAATAAGGAAAGGTGTTTGCTGCCAACCCTGACAACCTGAGTTTGAGCCCTGCGATCCACATGGTGGAAGGAGAAACCCGACCCCTGAAAGCTGTCCTCTGACCTCCACGTGGGTACTGTCTCTCTCTTCAACCTTGAGTCCACGGTGGACCTTAATTCTCATAAAAGAATATAATTTCTGCCCTTTATGTGAAATTTTTAGTGTGTATGTGTGTGTGTGCGTGTGTATGTGCGTGTGTGGACAACCCTGAGATCACTGCCAGGAGCTATCCCCTTGTTTTTTGAAACATGTTTTCTACTGGTTTGGCAATTAGGCTAGGCTGCCCGGCCAGTGATCCCCAGGGACCCACCCACCTCCACAGTCCTCAAGCCAGGTCTAAAAGCTTAGATGACACCCAGCTTTTTTTTTTACTTAGGTTCTAGGGATCAAATCAAGTTCATTGATGCAAACACTTTACTGAGTGAACTCTCTCCCCACTGTCCAACTACCTAGAATGTTAAGTATACAACTTGGATTTTAATAGAGATTCTAAATACCCAGTGTGTCAAAGGGCAGACATCAATTCATCCTGCATGAAAAAAAAAATCCCCAAGGCACAGGCAGCCATTCCTCTAGAACGTCGAAGATGTTAATCAATCCAGGCTGATTTCTAACCACCATTCAAGGGAACTGAAGACTTATTTAGACTCAGCTAGAAAGAGCGCCAGGGCTGGCTGTCGGTGTTACAGGGCCAGGGCTGGCTGTCGGTGTTACAGGGCCAGGGCTGGCTGTCGGTGTTACAGGACCATGTGTGGAGAGACACATGCGTGCCCTCCTGTCTGCCATCTTTGTATCTTGACCTCAGCTTCAGAGTGCTTGGTCGCATGGGTTCAGGGCAGATGCCGATCTGCTCCTTTTCACTGAATCTGTGCTTTGGCCTTACCTTGCTTGGAAGCAGATTCCTAAAAACAATCTGCAAGAAAGCCATCACGTTTTTATTAGCGTGAAGCCCAGCCCCCTTTACTTTCTCCCAAAGGGGAAATTTCTCTGACTCCTGAGAGTTGGAAGAAGCTCACTCTTCCCCAATACCAACTGTTCCCTTGTGGTAACATGCTCTTGCAGGCCCTCCCTCCTCCCTCCCTCCTCCCTCCCTCCT